GAAGACCACCCTAGTCTATCAGCGTCGCAGCATGCGCTCGCACGCGCATACCATGCCAACGGACAGGTCAAGGAGACCATCGAGCTGCTAGAATATGTGGTTGAAATGGGACAGAGGATCTTTAGATCTGATCATCCTGTTCGACTGACATCGCAGCATGAGCTTGCACGAGCATACCGCGCCAACAGACAGGTCAAGGAGGCCATCAAGCTGCTAGAACATGTGGTTGAGATAGGACAGAGGATCTTTAGATCCGATCATCCCGATCGACTATCATCAGAGTGGGAGCTCGCCACAACATACTATGACAACAAACAGGTCAAAGAGGCCATCGAGCTGCTGGAACATGTAGTTGGAATAGAACGGAGGATTCATAGGCCCGATCATCCCGATCGACTGGAATCTGAGAGCCTCCTGAAATCTTGGCAATGTGAGTTGTCGCCGAGCTGATGTTGAATGGATTTTCATTTGTCTTGATTAGCTTTTTTCGCCTATGCATTTTCCAAACGCGTTGGTAGAGTTTGATAGAATTACCTCATGTTTAAACAATTCTCGTCTTGATTAACACAGGCTACGTAAAAGAATTTTGGTATCCTCAAGAAAACCCACTACGCCATCCATCTGTAGTTCACATTGCTTTTTCCGTCTATACATGTTGCACTTTGGCCGTGCATTTACGATATTGAAAAAATGTGTCCCATGATCTATATGAGTCATTTCGCATACCCATCTATTAAGCACCAAGATACTACGTATCATCATTAGAACTTGGCGTCGTAAAAGAAAAGATACAAAAGCAGTCTACGTAATGGCCTTCTCGAAAACCCTACTGCAACTAAACCACACTATTAGGTTCTTAGTTACTATAGATAATTTGTGCCATATTATGCATCCGTATCCGGACTACTAGCGCAGCTCAAGACAAGAGCGCTGAACAAAAAAGACCCCGTACATGTATTTGCGCCTATACTCCTTTTGTGTGCACACCGCGTGCACATGCATTTCATTTCCCACCCGTGATGTTACTTTTCCCCCTTGGGCTTGGAAAATTACAATTTTTGGAACATAAAGTGGTCGTGCTTCTAAAAAAATAAAAGGCGTCATAGCTGTTGCACTTTCCACTGAGGGCAAAGCAAATGGTGGGCGTTGCTGTCGAAGTTGACGTTGCTTGAGTGTTGAAGGTTTTTCCGGAACAGGTGTCCAGCTAGATCCGGATTTAGGGCCTTACAGATACTAGCACGCGACAGGGGGGTCCACTCGGCAGATGGGATGAGCCCTGACCAGCATCGTCTCTCGTAACTGATGACTGATCAATACCTTAAGGCTTCACGGAAACTCCGATGCGATATCGGTAATACCGGTGATTTCAGTGAAGCGCTGCTAGTTGCCATCGATTCGGAAGCATTCGTCATTGTTTCAAGCTGAAGTTGAGATCCGACGACCATGAGGGAAATACGCAGCCCCTTCTTTTTCAACACATCCACTAAGTTCTGTATCTGGATAGTAAACTTGGTGGCAGCATCCAGAAAATGCTCGTAATCAGCATCGCTCAACGACGCCTGTGCCAAGTCCACTTCGATTGCAATTTCCGTTCGCGCTGTCTGGATCATACCGAGCGCCTCGATGGCACTGCAAAACCGTTGCTCTTCAATCTTCCGGTTATCGGGTAACAAAAAGGCAAAAAGAAGAGGCTGAATCTGTATCTGTAACCGTCGTGCATAGACAGCTGGGGTCATGCCAAAACCAAAGCCATCCGTGCTGAGAAATGGCTCAAGCAGGCACATCTCGTGATGAGCAAACTTGAAAGTGCGTGTCCAATAATAGCACTCTAACATTTCCCGTGCAAGATTGAAGTCCCAGCCCTTTTTGCTCAAACAGGCTGAAACAGGGTCTTCGATCCATCGGTATGAGAATTGACCGCAAGGTTCCCGGATCAGGTGAGTGAAGCGGTACGTCCTGCCCAGGGCAGCGCGGCGCACAATTACTTCATTGTCATAGCTTCCTTCAAGACAGAAAATGTATATGCGATTCCGGAGCTCACGTGGCAAACGTGAGAATATGTTCATAACACTGCTGTCTCTACTAGGGGGACTGGCCGTCCTGTGCATGCTTCTGGTAAGTCAGCATCAGCCAGAGGATTCAAAAGTTGTCTTGCTCTCACTGTTTTTTAGAATGAATTGGAAAGGAATCGTTATTCGTTGATGCGTGTGACTCGTGCATGTTGTTCCGTCGGAGTATAGTCACCGATGATAATATGCTCGCACACCCTTCCTAACGCAGCCGTTGAATAGATGCCGTCCGTTCTCTGAGCCAAGGCAAACCGTTCAGAATTCGTACCACCCCTTCTTCTACCCAGTCCACAGCGAGAGCTGGCGGCGACGCATAATTAAGTAAATTTTGGGAGGTGAGCCTCACGCCAGATCACGGGAAGCACTAATCTGCAAAGAATGCCTTTTCGCGAGTGGTTTTCCAACACATTTGCGCCTAGTCGGTGCCCTGCAACGCAGTAATCCCGATTAGGAAAGCATTGCGCGAAGCACGGATACTACGGAAGCCCGAGAACAAGGCTGATCCTACACAGATTACGCTCTGCTTGACAGTGCGGAATTCACAGTGGCACCGAAAACCCCATCCAAGAGGGCCCGAAACAGCCCAAGACTTTTATCGACGTCTTGACCTTCCATATCGTGTGGTCGCCCCAACCTCGGTACTACGAGGGGCGTATTTTATTTTTGGTCCAAGTGGCCCCAGTATGACAGTGTCAGCCAAGACTGGTTTGCGAATACGATGAATGCTAGTAAGGCCACATGTTTGCGCATACTCAACGTCTTATCCACGCCACCAAACTGCCTGCATGTAGCTAGTAGCATTGCCGCCATGTCACGTGCTAGTACCCCACATTCCTAGGCCCTGGCTTACACCCTGCAGGCTGCATGCATCCGATCTGTCATCACTCTGCAAACCCTACAACATTGGTTCGATACTGTCTCAAAGAAGAGATGTGCATTCTCCTCAAGCACCCATCGTTACCCTCTCTGCTCACCTCTCTACAATCCCAACCCTGTCACACCGCCTCCCGGCACTGAGCATGTACAGTTCGCCCCCCCTCCCCAGCACGAATCCAGACACACACTGATGATTCAAGGGCCAATAAACCCGAAACTCATTGTCAGTGGGCATAAGCGCTCGACCTAGTAACATACCGTCTGACACAGCATACCATGGCTGCGCCGTAAGTATGCAGGTAAGAAAGCGCTATTCTAGGTTCCTATTCGGGCCCTTCGGGCACCGCTCCAACAAAATGGTCTAGTACGAAAATTTCCCCGAACAGATGAGTAGTAATCAGACTGGATAACGAGAGAAGAAAAAAATTCTTACAATGCGGTGGCGGGGCTACTGGTGGGAACGGTTGGCCACGGGCGAGATCTACGACTACAAGGTGGCGATCGTCAGATTGTGTTGTGGTTGTCGATGATGACCATAATGCAGCTGCTATAAGTATGGGTAGGGGGCTGCCTGTATCAACCCGCCTACCTACCATATCGGCACACCGATGTCTTTTTACGTTTATCCGGACCGCGATATACTTTTACCCGATGAGCCCTTGAGCCGCCTCCTGAATTCCATGGATGCTTTCTGTATCTCCTGGCCTTTCCCATGACCCTTTGTTCGGCATTGCTGCCGCGACGCGGGCACTGGCTTCGGGAAGACATGTCGTCTGTATAGCAAGATGCATGCGTACTAAGCGCTTCGGCCCGTGAACCGCCAACTTGGCATCAAGGCTGCTGATCTTACGCTCGAGAGACGGGTGTATACGAGCGGGATGGAACTGTTGGAGACGGTCTCTTGAACGTTTCGCGCTTTCGTCATCCAAGGATTTCATGCGTACTGCCCGTATGTCTGATCAAAGGGGCATTTTCCCGTTGCCTTTAGGGTGCGTTGTCGATTGCCAACTGTCAGCTCTTCCTCTAGTCGTCTTACTCTTGTGGCGCTCACTTCAGCCTGTATTGGTTTTTTATCCTCATTTTCGTCGCAAATTCGCTTTTCAGGCGCCCATAATCCACAGTCGGCGACCTCCACAAACAAATAGTGTGTGACTGCGCAGATTTGTTGGTTCAGCTGATAAGTAAGCCGTAGTGGGGCCATGGGGGCCATGGGGGCCGAAGGATCGATCTCTTGACCGATGAGATGGTTGGTTTGTACAGCGTTGGATTATACGAACAAGTCCACACACCAGGGCTGTGGGATTGAGATTAATGGCTACTCTGTAACGCATCGGATCTTTTCATGGATGTCATTGAATATCCAGAAGTAAGGACCAAATTTTCAATCGACCTCACCTGCAGCCGCCATTGGTCACCACTTTGGAATAAGATGAGATTTTCTAGGCAGAAGTGGACACCATAGACGCTAAAACTTCTGCCTCGAGACAATGAGATACATTTGGGGCCTACAAAGCCCTATGGTGGCCTTTTGCTGCACTCCTGTTCATCCATGGCGCAAAGCTAAGAACTGCAGTCGCGGTTCCTGGTCCCGATTAGGCTCGAATCCAGGCAGAGCCAGCCTCGCAATGGATACGATACGGCCGTTTCGGCAGTGCCATGTGTTTTGCACATGTTCTGGGCCCTATCAGGATTTCAAGAGACCATATCCCAATCGTGTTAATGGCGCATCACCAATCCCATTCCAGGGACGCTCAAGGCTGTCGCTGCTGGACATGACTCTTTCACCTGAACGAAATGAGATCTGAGGCTCGATGATAGAATAAAACGATCCTGCGCAGGATTATTGGGAGCCTGGAAACATGAGTGGATAGTATATCCTATTTACCGGATCCTAGGCTAAGTCACTAAACGGCGACTTGGGAAGCCACGATGTAGGGGCCGAAGAGTAGGAAAAGCGTGAGAAAAGATATACAATACATGGAAAAGGTGCCCGGCTTACTGTGTCGATGATCTGATCGCCCGGTTCCATCAGCACCTAAATCCTCTCACCTGACGCCTGTTTTCAACAATCGGTATGACACGGAGTAGCAACAGCGATGGTGTGTACATTATTGGTTTAGGCCACCAGTACCCCGAGTATGCAATCGGGCAGGAAGATTTTGAGGGATACCTTCACCGTCTATACCCTGAACACGTCTCTTCACCAGCGTCAGTACAGATCAGAATCTTAAGAACATCTTCTCACGTATACAGTGTGCAAAAGCTTATTGGGTTCAACGCAAAGACGCAAATATCTTCCCGTCCGACAGTCCTTGACCACACCAAATGGACGCAAAAAGATGCCACGCCACCAACTCTTGGTTCAATATCTCATGACTTTCGTACCGTGGGCGTCACTCTCGCCGCTTCTGCGTGTGAAAAGGCCATGCGGGAAGCAGGAGTTGGGCCACAAGAGATAACACACATTGTTGCCGTGACATGCACCAATTCTGACAATCCAGGCTACGACCTCTTTGTGTGCGAGAAACTCGGCCTGGGGACAGACGTTCAGCGTGTTCTCGTCCAGGGCGTGGGTTGCGCAGGAGGTCTATCAGCATTGCGAGCAGCAGCTGACATTGCTGCCGCTGCATCGCTCAAGAGACGAAAGGCACGAGTCCTCGTCGTCGCATGCGAAATTTGCAGCCTCTTCTTTCGGGCAGAGATACAAAACATCTTGCAAGGCGGAGATGAGACACTGCGTATAGCACCCGCATTGTTCTCTGACGGCGCTGCCTCACTGGTAGTGTGCAACGAGCTTGCATTGGCTCCGTCTCAAACCCCTGTTTACCAACTGAGGGAATGGGCGAGTATGGTGGCGCCGGGGACGTCAAGCTTCATGTCGTATAATTTTGGGAAAAACGGTGGGTACACTCTACTCTCTACGTGACCACTAGTAAACTGACTCTGATACCAGGATTGATAGCTACCATTACGAAAGATGTTCCCAAAGCAGCAATCAGTGCTATCGCACCGATTTTCCAACAACTCTGCAACGCATCCGACGCCGCTATTAGTAATAGAGCACCGTTGCCCCGGATGCCAGCAGACTTTGATTGGGCAATTCATCCCGGGGGTGCTGCCATCTTGCACGGCGCGAAAGACTCGCTCGGTCTTACTGACGACCACATCAGAGCCTCGCTCGACGTCTACAAACACTACGGCAACTCTTCGAGCGCATCTGTACTCATCGTACTCGACAAAATGAGACACCTGGGCCTGGGTAGAGATGATGTGGTCGCTGTCAGCTTTGGGCCAGGGTTGACAGTGGAAATGTGCATGATGACGCGATGCCACGCCTCAGATCCCCGTATGTCAGTTCATCGACGTCAAAGAGCGTCTTCGTTTTGGGCAGCGCTACACTCGAAATTTTCGAGGAGGAATACAATACATCATCGGGGATGATGGAAAATGTAAGTTAGTTGTTCATATTATGGAATTACATCTACTGAGTTGGATGTTGTACATATCGCTACTTTGTAATAAATAAAAGTAACATGGCAAACGAATCGACAATCACAACATCGCTTTCAACAACGTGAATGAAATGTATTCACAGTACTACTTCACACACATATACATGATAGTCCAGAGAAAGAGTCCGATGTTGCATGGAACTTCGTGGAATTGATCCGCACAATAGTGGATCACGATGCGGAATCGGGCCCGGACCCGCGGATATTGCGGAGTCCGGGAGAGATGGACACTAGTGATTGGATCTCCCGCGCAAACCAGTGACGATGTTGAACAATTCACACAACAAAAGTCGCATCAAGAAAACACGCTTGAAACCCCCCTCTTTCCCTCTTTTTGTTCCTTTTCGACGTTGAAAAAAAAAATTCGACGGCAATATGGAAAAGAGTCTGACAACAGACCCAACCCAGCAACGCGACACACCCGAGAACCAGCCATACAAAGCAACTTGCTACGCGGAAAACCCTGCATTGCAACATAGCGACAATCAAGACACTACTAAGCTATCGCAACGAAAATGGACATCATGGTTCACACAACGCAGCTCCGATCCCCCCTTTCTCCTCAAATATAGAAGTTCAGATAGTTTTATCATCGGGACTGTAGCTTTGGCTGTTTTTACCGTAAGTCATCCTTATCCTCATCACCACTGCTGCATCAAAATCTCAAAAAATAAAAATAAAAATCTACATTATCAAACGATAAGGGCAAAATACTAATCCATGGTTTTTTTAAAAAAAAAAAGGACATGTTCCTCTACGGCGTCATCGTCCCCGTAGTCCCCTTCGCCATCTCGTCGCGCAGCCACGTGGATGAAGGCAGAGTGCAATACTGGGTCTCTGTGCTCGTGGCCGTGTACGGAGCGTCTCTTCTTGCATGCTCGCCTGTGTGCGGATGGCTTGCTGACCGCGGGTCGTCCCGGCGCATGCCGTTACTTGTGGGATTGCTGGTTTTGCTGGGATCGACCGTGTTGCTGAATCTTGGCAATTCGATTGGGGTGCTGATTACGGGGCGTGTGTTGCAGGGTGCTTCGGCGGCTGTGGTGTAAGAAGACGTCTTTTTGCTTTTTTTTAAAAAAAAAAAGTCTTATTTAATTGGTGAGAGAGGGCTAAATGACTGACCATATTTGCAGGTGGGTTGTTGGGCTTGCGTTGTTGGCTGATACCGTGCCTCAGGATCAGCTTGCCACAGCGTCCGGGTGGCTGTCGATAGGTATGTCACTGGGCATGCTGATATCACCGCTTCTGGGGGGCATCGTGTATGATCACGCTGGTTACAATGCTGTTTTCGGCATGAGCTACGCACTAATTGGGCTGGACGTGATTCTTCGACTGCTGCTTGTGGAAAAGAAGGTGGCGGTAAGATGGGATGCCAGTGCGATAGGACGGCGACCAGTCGAGGCGCATGACGGCCTAGGTGGAGACGCTACACCACAAAGTGAGGGATCAGATGCTTCCAAAACGCTAGCCCAGTCGGAAGCAGGCCAGCTCGAAATGCAGCGGCAAGAACCGCCTCGACGGCGGCTGCGGGATCGCCTTCCTCCCGTTGTATCACTGCTCTACTCCCGACGCTTACTCGCCTCGTTGTTCTGTGCACTCGTACAGGCGCTTTTGTTGACGGCATTCGACTCGGTTCTTGCCATTCACGCTGCAAAGACCTTCAACTGGACAGCAACGGGTGCGGCGCTGTTGTTCCTTCCCATTGCCATTCCGAGTTTTCTCGCGCCATTGTGGGGATGGCTGTGCGACAAGTACGGCGGACGATACCTTGTCATCATCGGGTTCTTATGCGGGTGTCCGCCGCTGGTGTGCTTGCGTTTTGTCACGGAAAGCACGATGAGGGACAAGGTACTTTTATGTGCATTGTTAGCCATCGTGGGTCTCACCATTGGCATGACGTTTCCGCCCGTCATGGCTGAGATTTCCGCCGTGGCGGAAGCAAAGGAGAGGAAGTTGATTGCAAGCGGACGGCCTGGGTTTGGGAAAGGCGGTGCATTTGCTCAAGCTTACGCATTGTTCAATATGGCTTTTGCTGGAGGTTCCATGGCCGGGCCTTTGCTAGCTGGGTTCATTGTTGAAGCACATGGGTGGGCGACCATGGCAGCGGTACTGGGAGGACTATCTGCCGTAGCCGCAGTACCTGGATTTCTGTGGTTAGGCGGTTGGATTGGCGGGAAGCTGTAAGTTTCGTGGTGAAAACAATATACGTATACTGGACGAGTGTATGGATTGTAGAGCATGTCAGAGCATGCTGGTAACATGCACTTGGTGAAGCTGACGTGCTCAGCCTCCAAAAAATGGTATTATTCTACCTTGAGCAGTACCATAGCATACTACCAGGTGAGGTCCGAGGTACAGACTCCTGGCTGCAGCGCTCATGTCCGGTTCAACATGCGCGCACGTGAATCCGGGGGATTGATGGCCGGTTGGGTTGCGGGCCTTTCCCGTCGGCCGGTTGGCTCGCATGCAATGGAAGCCATCACACGACCGGTGATGATTGACGTTGAAAAGTGGCATTTGGTCACATGGCGGCTAGTCTGGGGTATACTGGGGCATTGTGGGGTACCTCGCCCCGGCCACCCGCTATACTCTGACTACTAACCACCTTTGTTCAGGGTCCAGGCAGACTACACAACTGACCGCCATGCGGCAACGGCAAACTACTCACGGCCTTAGGCTGCGACAGGCCACTTCTGCCCTGCTATAGGTCAGGGTAGAGATCAGATGACGGAGCGGAAACTCACCCGTGCCCTTGCGCCAAGCCGAGGTCCATGGCAGATGTACCTCCATGACGACCTGGACACTGTCATTCGCGACGTCAAAAACGCCATGGAACTCCCAAGACTCCGCTTTGACGGCGATCAGGTCGGAAGCCGAGCGATGATGTGCTCGTATCGACTCGGCACATGTGCTACACTGAAGCCCCGATTCTAGCGTACCGGCGCGTGTGTTCTCGGCAGAGAGAACAACGCACGAGCAAGTGCATGTCAACATCACGTGCCGACAACCCTGTCTGAACGTGCAGGGCCGTGTGACTGCATCACCGTTGGAAGCAAGATGAAGGTGTAGTTCTCGGACATACCCACGTCTGCCGCCAAGTGTCGCTTGCAGGCATGACCTGCTACGTCACCACTCACTGCTGCCCTACTCACACTGCGTGAAATCCCCATGTTGTGCCCGAAGAGGCATTTTTCATGGTTGCTCCAGCTTTCCCTCTCATCACCCGGACCCGTGGCCAATCATGTCGCGAGCTCCCTGGCTGATTCACACATCTCCACTCCGCACAGACTCGAGGAGCAAGAGACCTGCCTATTCTGCTCTCCAAGACTCCCCCCCCGCTCACTTGCGATCGTCATGTGCAGTCCAGGACTACAGCCATTATAGTTCCCGCGAGCGAACCATGGTCGCTATTGCAACGACCTGGCTGGGTATGTTGGCATTTCTTTGTCTGCTCACGCTCGGATTCAGTATAAAAGTGACCTCCATGACCGCGTCTTGAACTCTCCACTCCAGCAACTCATCCTGACAACACAATCTGAGAGCAACATCATCTTTGCAACATGATTCTCACCAAACTCGTTTCAACCTTGTCGCTATGCGTTGCTGTCCTGGCTGCTCCTGCGTAAGTGATGCTTCCAGCGCATCACTGCCAAAACAAACATCACATTGTGTCCTTGCTGACTTTTCTCTAGCCAGCAGAAGCGTGCAGTCGGCTTCAACTGGGGATCTGAGAAGATTCGCGGTGTAAACATTGGTGGATGGTTGGTCCTGGAGCCGTAAGTGACATGGGTTGTGATATGCTTTGCGACATCTGCTAACCTCCTTCCACAGCTGGATCACCCCATCAATCTTCGACAACGCAAACCGAGGCCGTCCACAAAATGACATTGTTGACGGTAAGCTGAATGACTTTCATATTGAGACTGATGCTAATAACGCGCAGAGTACACATTGGGTGAAAAGCTTGGCAGCCAAAATGCCCTAAACATCCTTCGTAACCATTGGGATACTTTCGTCACCTGGCAAGACTTCAACAAAATCAAGCAGTCGGGTTTCAACGTTGTCCGTATCCCCGTTGGCTACTGGGCATACGATACCTTTGGCTCGCCCTACGTCAGTGGAGCAGCTGTCTACATTGATGCTGCCATCGACTGGGCTCGTAGCCTGGGCTTGAAGATTATCATTGACCTTCACGGTGCACCTGGATCCCAGAACGGGTTTGACAACTCTGGTCAACGCATGGATCGCCCCACGTGGCAGCAAGGCGACACCGTCCGAAGGACCCTCCAAGTTTTGCGCACAATCTCTCAGAAATACGCACAAACGAGCTACCAGGATGTCATCGTCGGTATTCAACTGCTCAACGAGCCCGCACTTTACAACGGCCTCAGTCGTGATGTTCTCGCACAGTTCTATCGCGATGGCTATGGCCAAGTGCGCGAGGTTTCCGACACCCCGGTCATCATTTCTGACGGCTTCACTGCACCAAACTCCTGGAACGGCTTCCTCACACCCTCAGATGCCAACGCCCAGAATGTAGCCATTGACAACCACCAATACCAAGTTTTCGACTCCAATCTGCTCAAACTGTCACCCGCTGGACACGCCCAACAGGCCTGCAGGAACACTGGCGCATATGGCGGTGCAGACAAGTGGACCTTTGGTATGTTCAAGAAGATGCGATACAATAAGCCCTTACTGACTTATATGTTGCAGTTGGAGAGTGGACTTCCGCCATGACGTGAGCATGATCCTTTCACACATAACACAAAAAGCACATAAACTGACTGCCGGCAGGGACTGCGCACGTTACTTGAACGGCTACGGCCGTGGTGCCCGCTATGATGGTACCTACTTGGGCAACCCCAAGTTGGGCGAGTGCGGCTGGCGAAACGACCTAGCGCAGTGGCCCGCCTCTTACAAGGACGACTCCAGGCGCTACATCGAGGCCCAGATCCGCGCTTTTGAGTCGACGACCCAAGGCTGGTTCTGGTGGAACTTCAAGACTGAGGGTGCGGCTGAGTGGGATGCTTTCAGGCTCATCGACGCTGGTGTCTTCCCCGCCATCAGGAACGGACAGGTAGAGTACAAGTTTGGCGCTGCCTGCTAGAAACATGGCTTGACACCTAGCTTAAAATTTACTTTGTTGCACCTCTAGAAGGGGCTAGACGGGCTGAACGCAATCGCAAAGGAAAAGCAAAGCAGGCATGTGTGATTGCATAGAGGAGGCCTGACTTTTCATTGCTCAGTTCGATTAACGACTTATGATGATTTGGAATAACGAAGTACACGATAGCAATGAGATTTTTTTTTTCATACACTTTTTGTGCAAGCACAAGATAAGCTAGGGGTGGAGGGCGGGGCAGGGAGAGTACATAATTATGCAATTGTGACCGCGGACGATGGCTAGAAGCAAAAAAAGCAAACTAAGCATGGGTGGGTGCTGTAGTAACACCTGGGGTGGGAAAAGAAAACCACAATCAGTGGTACCGCGTCTACCAGTCCAGTACTATCGTACCACACTTTTACACCCACATCCCACTCCTGACACGCCTATGACCCGTGCCAATGCACCCAAAAAGCTGAGAATCCCCTTCCCCACACTTTCGCCCACCAACTATATCTCCGTGTATACACACCCCAGATTCTTCCTTCCCCAGAATCCCCAGTAAAACAACCCACCCGCCCCTCCACAGTTTTCGCATGTTACGTGCAGAATCGGCGGCAAAACAAGCGCCGAAAAGGATAGCCTGGGCAACCCAAGAGTCTGCCGTTTGCCGTTGCGGCGTGTTAAGCCTGATTGCGGGTGCCCAGCGCTGCATGCCAAGCGTTTGTGGCTGCGCCTGTGTGCCCCCTCGGCGGACATGGGGGCTGGCCTTTTGCCTGGAGTGGGCTGGATTTGCCCTGTTGAACACCGTGTTACAGTAGGTAAAAAAGTAGTACGACTAGTAGTGCGGGGAAAACGCGGAGGAGGGGGAGCTGAAGCAATGTATGCCAATGCTTGCCAAGTTTCTGATTAGTACAAGGGGGGAAAGGGAAGTACAGTGGATGGGGGGACTGGGTGGGTTGTAATGCATTGCCCGCCCCTCCCAGGTATATAGGACTTTCACCTTCCCCAGCTTCCTCAGCTCTTTTTTCTTTCTTTCTTTTACTTCTTACTCAATTCCCCCTAATTCCTCAATCCTTTGATCTTTGAGAGGGATCTATAGTAGGAAGGTTGGAAGAGTCTTAGAAACAATGACGGAAAAGCAACATCCACCCGTCGTCGAGCCCACCGACGAAAAACCAGCAGTCATATCGCACATTGACGACAAATCCGAGATCGGGGCTGAGAAACATGCATCGGCGGCTGCGGACTATACGGGTGCAGAGCGCAAGAGTGATCCGGAGGAGATTGCGTTGGTGAGGAAGATTGATTGGAGACTTATGGTACGTTTGTTCCCCTTCACCCTCGTATACAATTGCCTTTGTTGGGCTTGTTGCACAAATGCAAAAGCAGAAGAGAGCGAGAATGGGTTGCTGATTGGAAATGCGAATAGCCAACCCTAATGGTCATGTACTTCCTCAACTACGTCGATCGCAACGCCATCGCACAGGCCCGTCTGAATAACCTGGAAGAGGACCTGGGCATGACGGGCGTGCAGTTTAATACTTGTGTTAGCATGTTAGTTACCTCCTTCCTTCAATTACCAAGAGAAAAGAAGAAAAAAAAACAGACTCATTGATGTTCCAAACACAGTCTCTTCGTCGGCTACGTCCTCATGCAAGTCCCTTCCAACATGCTCATCACGCGCATCAAACCTGGCATCTACATGAGCAGCTGGATGTTCGTCTGGGCCATTGTATCTGCGTGTACGGCGCTGGTGCAGAATTTCGGAGGTATGGTTGCGTGTCGATTTTTTCTGGGGATTACTGAGGCGCCGTAAGTTATTCTCCTTTTCCCCCCCATAATCCCTCCATCCCTCTTTCCCTCATTCTTTTCATATGTGTGAGACTTTTTTTCCTAACGAAAAAGATTAGGTTCTACCCAGGTGCCACATATATGCTTTCAATCTTCTACACAAGGCGAGAAGTAGCGACACGCATTGCATTGCTATACTGCGCACAGATTCTTGCGACGGGGCTGAGCGGGTTGATTGCTGCGGGTGTGTTCCAGATGGATGGGTTGAGGGGGATTGCGGGGT